CCCTAAGACAAAATTGACGTGCAAAATGAAAATTGATGATTACATTGATTTTTTATTTCTTTCTTAAATATAAGCGATAATTTAAACTATAAGGGGATGAACACACACTTTAAGTCAAGGTTCTTTTTTTGATATGATGTTAAAAAAACAATGCGGACCAAAAGATCTAAACCCTAGCCGCTCTCTCCCTCTATGAGTCCTAAAGGAAAATTCCATAGAGGGGGGAGGAGGAAGACGCATCACTGCCCCTCCTCCCTCTCATCTCTTCTCGTATTTTCTTTTTAGGTAAGTGCATAAGTCCACTGGGGCGTTTTGAATAAAAAAAACCCCTTGTGGTGGTTTCTTCTAAGCCATGGTTAGAATGAAGTTCCCCATCACCCATTTTAGTCTATGTTTTCAATCAAATCCTACTCCCAAAACTTGCTCCCTAACGCCGCTCATGTTCTCTAAATTTGATTCTACATCGTCTTTGATGGAGGTTGCTACAAATCACCCAATTGTTCTTTGGCAAAGTTATTGTTTTCGTTTATTTGTTCGCTCTTATGTGCAGGTAGATCGCTGGAAATCATATTTTCCCCACATCTGTTACGGATGCGGTGGTGGGTGTGACCGCGACGGCTCTTCTTCAAGTGGTGGTGGTAGGATTTGTTTAGGCTCATGGGTTGTTTTAGGGTTTTGGTTATGTTGGGTTTGTGGGCTTTGTTTGGGTTTATGGCTAATTGTGGTGATGTGGGCTAGTAGTTTTAGTGCAGCTTTTGTTCGCATTAGTTTTGCTTTTAGTATGTTAGTTTGTTGCCCTTTTGGGATTGATATTTTAGATGTCTTGTTGACATCTTTGATTGTACTGTTGAAGTTTATTTAATGAAGTTTCTATTTGATTAAAAAAAAAAATCAAGGCTCTTTTTGGTTGAATTATGAATGTAATTCCAAAATTTCTCAAAGAAAAAAAAACCTTGTTGGCGATGATTATATTGATCATCAAACTAGGGGTGGACATTGAGACCAGAAAACTGGAACACTAAGCTGTATCGGAATGAAAAAATCATGTTGCCTAAAAAGTCAACAAACTAGCATTGAATTGACTGAACTGGGTCAAATCGTTCGATGCCAATTTCACACCTTACAAAACTGGAGACCGGATTGACTGTGTTTTTTTTAAAACCTTTTAAAAATTATTTAAGTACAATGCTAAATTTTTAATCCCATGATTAATATTTCCCTAAGCCCAACTTCAAATCACCTCTCTTTTCTAGGCCCAATTATCTCTCTTTGCATGAAATTGGGTCATCAGTGAATTTTTTAAGAAAAAAAAAAAAAAAAATTGGGAATTTAAAAAATACAATAATAAAAAAAGTTTTTAGAAAAA